GCTTTCGATCTGTGCTATTTTCTGCCATTTTTCTGTTTTTGTGTAGTGTAGAGAGTGGTAGTTGGTTGATCTCTAGGTGGATACTATGATTTTGATTCTCGAAATCCCCACAGACGGCACCAAATTGTTTGGCTCAAAAGTTAATGATATACTTTGTAAGCGATAAAACAATCAAAAATAGAAAAGGGGTAAATCGTAATCAAATATAATGAGCCTAGAGATGCAAAGATGATAATATTGTTGTAGATCTGATATTGCAAAGTGATAATGTTTACCAATAAGATACTTTCGTTAGAGGTAGAGATATAGAGAGAGAAAGCCAGAAAAATGAGAGAGTTGTATTAGATCAGATCCCCCTTTTACAATGTGGAGGTCTCCTTTATATAATAGGAGACCTTCCTCGAAAGAATCAAAAAGTTACAAAGATAGGTAACGTCTCCCTAGTATGGACGCTGAGTTCTAAACGATGTCGCTTTTGTCCTCACGGCCGAGTCGTATCCGCTACGTTGGTCGGCGTACACTCACTGGGCGTACCCACTGGCGTAGGGATACTGAGGGTCGAATTTGACCCTATACAGCTTGAAAAAACGTTTTTTTTTTTAAAGTGCACTCCTGATTTTACATAGAAAAACATTCATGCATCTCCTAGGTAAGGCAAAAAATTACACTAACTATAGCTTAGACTTCAACAATGGGCAGTTGACCAGTAGTAGTACAATTGAACAGTTGAATTTCCTAAAAGGATCCAGATTTGACTCCGATGATACTTTATTTGTTAGTGATATCTGAGTCTGATGAATATGTAATTTCTAGAATAATTTTAAGGTACCAAAGAAGCAACGTGGAAATGTCCAAAGTCCAAACCAATGGGAAGCATCTTCTTAGTTTAACACGTCTGAGTGTTGACAATTATATCCCAACATAGGAGTATAAAATTTCAACATAGACTTCTACATAGTTCTTCTTACCATTGTTGGTTATTGGTTAGTCAGCTAATTAATCATTGTAGTCACCACAAATCTTTTCCTCGCATTCTAATTTACTTTGAAGTTTTTTTAAAAGGTGGCGTTTGGATTTTTTTGAGAAAACTGATTTTGAAAGTAATTCTAGAAGATAGGAAATGTGTATGAAGCATACTTCGGAAGAGATTAACCCAACTTTAATCTCTTGCTGATTATGCGGGTCCAAGGTGGCATATGAGGTGTCCTCCATGTCATTCTGATGAGTCACAACAATACTCCCGTCATGCAACGGAACCTTATCCTCAACCTCAAGGTTCAGAGAAGAATCAGGGCCAGGGTCAGTCATATCTCCAACACAACGTTTGAGCATTGAAATGTGGAAGACATGATGAATACGAGCAGCTTCGGGTAACTCCAACTTGTAAGCAACCTCTCCAATGCATTTAAGAATTTTAAATGGGCCAAAGTAGTGCCTACCCACTTTTGGATGTTGTTGAAAGCTTCACTAGGACTGCTGCCCAAGATATATGGTGCCACGGTTGGAGGATCTCGCCCATATATAGCTCCAAATGGGGTCATCCCTCCAGAGGTATGATATGAGGTGTATACTTATATTATACATCCACAACTATTTTTAATTTTAGCGGTTGGGTTTAAGATTATTTGTGTTAATTCTTAATAATTTTTAGTTGGGTCTGGCGTTATCAGTTTTGGTAAAAGTAGGAGCAGCTCAAAAAAATTCAGGTGAAATTCAAAAATACTAAATTTATAAGTGGTAATTAAAAAAAGAAATTTTACACTCTATAGAAAACCTTTGTACCCTATTTATTTTAAATAAATACCATTTTAAAATATTACATCATATAGATACCTTTTATACTTTATAGCCAAATATCTAATTATAGTTACATCCTACATTTAAGGCACCATATATGCTAACTAATATTTCTCTCTCTCCTTTTTAGTCTTTTCTCTCACATAATCACCGTAAAATTGACTAACCACGTTCTCTCTCTCTTTTTTGCATACACTTTACTCTTTCTCCCTCAAACCCACGATACATACATCTTCTCCCATCCAAATTCTCTAGTTCTCCTCCATTATCACTCCCCATTTTTTTTTCCTCTCTAAATCACTGTTTTAGAGCCGATACAATCGCTTAGGGTAAGTTTAATTCTTAGAATTTGATATCACTATTTTGCTTTTCTGATTTTAATTCTTGACTTGCGTATCTGGTCTAAGTACATCGATAACATTTGATATCTATTTGTTACGAAATCTAAGAATTGTTATGATTTTAATTCTTGACTTGCGTATCTGGTCAATAATTCAGCAGCATTCATTTATAGATTTTGATATCATTATTTTGCCAACTTGGGTAATTTTTAGATTTTTGTTTGTTTCATTATTTTGATTTTCTGATTTTAATTCTTAGATTTTTGTTTGTTTCTGAAACAATAACCATTATTATTGTTTACTCACCAGGAAGTTTTCGTTTTTCTCTCCAATGGAGGTTTCAACGCCACACAAGATGATAACCAGAGGTATACCCACCAAAATTCTCAATTTTGATGGGCCCTCTTTCTCGTTGCAAATAACACAAACGGAGTCGGATTTTGCAGGTTTATCAGCAACTACAGCTTCAGAGAGAAGAACTAAATTACACAAAGACAAATCACTACAAAAAAAATCAACTTTAGCGACGGACGAATTCCGTAGCTAAATAGTGTATTTTCGTCGCTAAACGGGTTTAGCAACGGAATAGCGACAGATTTGTATCCGTCGCTACTTTGCTCGTAGCTAACCACTTACTAACGAAAAAAATTGAATCCGTCGGTAAGGTAGCGACGAATTAGCTACGGTTCGTATCTGTTGCTACTCTTAGCGACAAACATGTCCGTCGCAAATATCATCAATTTTGTCGCCAAATCGACAAGTCATTTCGTCGTCGGTATTAATTGGTGACGAATTTTTTCTGTCGCTAATGTTGTTGAGACATATTTGCCTTTCTTTTGGCGACGAATTTATTTTGTCGCAACCTGTTATTCTATATTAGTTATAGCTACGAAAAAAATTCGTCGCAAATTATATTTTTCTTATTTAATTTAATAAAATATATATTTCTCAAACATATATAAAATACTTTTAATAATAACTAAAATTCATAGAAATTAATATTCTACAAGATCCAAAATAAATACCAAAATGCAAGTGCATAATTAAGTTAAAAAACATTTATAATACTAAATAAAGTTCACACAAAAATAGTTAATTAATGAGTGACAGGAGAGTGAAGGTCATCATCAGAAAGCGATGCATGAACCTCTTTAATACCAAAACATCTACAACACCAAAATAAAATTCAAATGAAAATAGTTAACTACTGAGAGACTGGAGAGTGAAGGTCATCATTAGAGAGCGGTGCATGAACCTCATTAATATTAGTAGGAGGAGGAACTGGAGGTGCCACATCTGATGGGTGATCAGTATGATTATCTTGCAGATGTGATGGTGAAGCTATCAATCCTCTTACTCGCTCAGCCAACACAGGAAGCATGTGATTAGTCAGTACAGGAACCATATGATCAGTCAATGCAGGAATCAATCGCATCACTAACTCATCCAAATTCGTCATTGATGCTGACTGAGCATTCGGAGGTGCTGTTGATGATGAAGCATCCGATCCAGAAGAGGCACGAAGATTCGGCCCATCGAAATATTTTGCTTGAGATCCAAGACCATATATTCTTCTCTTCTTTTCCCCTCCCGCTGCTTGATAAAATGCTAGAGATTGATCAATATCAGATTGAGTTTGTGTTTGTTGTTGTAATATTTGCTGATATTTTTCCTGTAAATACCATAATAATTAGTGAAATTTATTATGAATAACACTACTGCCATAAGAAGTCTACAGAATTGAATCTCAATTATGTTGGAGAAACTAAAGGGGAAAATGGGTTTTTGCAAATGTTTAATTGAAAGAATAGCATTATATAAGGGGAATGACAACTACTGTCATTGAAGCCAGTTGGCCAAAGAATCTTTCTTACTTAACAAAGGAAGTTGAAAATGAAAAAAAAGTCATATTTTTTGAAAGAGACAGGATATGCTGGCACGTTTTATCTACTATATAATGGTTGCCATATGATATGTTATATATTTTTTGTAATTTTATATTTGTAATACTACTCTCCTCGTCTTCAAATCAAATTATGACCTGAAGATGAATAATCCACAACGTAAACGAAAATACAAAGGGACAAGGATAAAAATTTAACAAGATAAAGATGAACATTCGGGGAAAAGAAAGATAAAAGCATAAATAAGTTAACTATTAAGTTCTTCATTCATACAAAAGTTAGCAAAAATCATCTTTAAAACTGAAATAAATGCTAAACAAGTAGTTCAAGTGGGACGTGAATGTCATATATGAAGTCAATAAAAGTATAGGATTTTGAACTTACATGTACAAGTCGGGATCGCTCACTAACAAAAGATTTTTCATCATGATCATGTGTATGGACGTGCAAATGTAGCTCACTTGGTGTTGGATCTCGACCCTTTTCAATAGCCTATACAAAAAACAAAGAATTTAATTTTCTTTGATAAGGTGAAACAGTTTACTAGTTGAGATACCAAGAAGGTATACAACAGTACAAGGACAAGAAGAATAGCCCCAACAATAATTTTCAAATTACATACTTCCCAGCATATCCAGGAAATTCAAACCTAGTTTTTTCAAATGATTTAGTCTTACCATGCCCATACAACCCCAATATATTTACTGAATTGAAGAAACTAAGATAAGTTTCCACTGAAACAATCATTTTAATTTATCATTAGAATAACCACTCAGAAAGCAGACAAGACTAGCACAAAGGTGAAAGGTAAGCACCGAACATTAAATTGTTGAAAATTTATGTGCAATTTAATTCATCATTGTGACAAATATTTTGTTTAGCTATTCTTTCTATATATGAATTCTTGAGGTCATGTGAAAAACAGATCTATGTGATACAAAGAAAGCACACTATTTGAATCCTTATCCATTAGGGCAGTGATCATGAGAACTAGTTCAAGAACTCCTGTTTTGTGTAAAATACTAATTGGCTCATGTGAAATCACGAAGAAGATACTCCTAAGTTGCTTTATTCCTTTTAATGCAGCAACCTATTATAGAGATGTCAAATGGAAACGGCCAATAACACCAAGTTGAAACACTGCTCAAACCACAAGAACAACAGGGGATCAACCTATTAAGAAAGCTGAAATGTGTAAATTCTGGTGATTACCCCTTACGAATAATATACTTACAAGTCTCTTGCGATGTTCCCCAATGATGACAGAGCCGCCCGTGTGAGTCCCAATGGCGACGTCGGTCCCACCGCCACAACGATTTTTTGCATTTATTTCTGATTTTTTGACACACTTAGGATCCTTCCATAGTTTCATCCAATTCTCCCACACATCTTCTGGAACAAAATCTGGTTGAACTATATCTTTACATTTTTTTATTTTGCTCATAAAATCATAGTACCTTCTCGCTGCCTTACTTTCCCATAGGCGCTTCACTTCTCTATCAATCAAAGAATCCCAATAGAATGCCTTCTGAAATAATTTTATAAAGTAGTAACATTAGTATATTATCTATAAAAGTTAATACACTATGTAAAATCAATTTGATGGAATGTCATACCTTGAATTCTCCAAAGTAAAATTCTCTTGTCTCTTTTGGGACACCTTTCCAATTGATTCCATTAGGACGAAGTTCATGCTTGAAATTTTCATATATATACTCAGAGCATAATCTAGAAGGTTCAATACTGGACAATTTGAAGACGTTTCTTGAGTACTTATCATAAATCAATAACAGTATATTAAAAAATAGTAGAAGCTTGGACTAACCCTGTAGAAGAAAGAAAAACAAGAGTCCGCTGGCCAAGACTACTGTTGCACTCACCTTCGCCTATTGCATTGGTTTGAGTAGATATACTCTCACCTATTGCATTATTCTGTGATATACCCTCGTCTACTGTGTTGCTCTGATTAGGTGTCATCGGAGATGGTTCAACATAGACAGGTGGGATACTACTATTACCTGATGTTTGAATTGGAGGTGTACTACTATTACCTGATGTTTGAATTGGAGGTGTACTACTAGGACCTAATATTTGAACTTGATTAATATGACTTGGCCGACTTGAGGAACTCGTACCACCTTGTTGATGACTAATTGTTGGAATGGGAATAGTGGGAATGTTCCTATGAGTAGCTGAATTACCCCTAGCAGAGGACTTGTTTATACGACCTGCACTACCTCGACCTCTGCCTCGAGTCATATCTGTAAAAAAAAAATAGTGATAAGCAGATTGAAAAAATAGCAAGCAGTAAAGTGACTTTGAAATTCTCTCTAATATTTGTACTCTAATTCATTGTTGCAAGTACTCTAATTTGTACTTTAAAATTCATTCTAACAAACTGAAGTTTTTCATTTTCTTCTCTTATATTTGTACTCTAAAATTCTGTTACAACGACTTATAGAAAATTACTCTATATAATAAAAAACTTATAGAAACACACAACTTATAAAGTGACTTTTTTATACCTGTGGTTGGAGAGCAAAAACGCAAAAAAAAATGATAGAAGTTTACAATGGTGCCAATAGGTGAAAGTCGAGCTAATGCACTAGACTGGAATTAACACCCTGCCAAAAAAGAATAGACAGTTAAGTAATTCGTGCAAAATCATACAATTATTTAAGATTTTCAGTTTTATAGTAAGCAATGATTTAAGAAAAAGAATGAGAAGCTTGGACATCAATCATTTTCTTCTCTTATATTTGTACTATTTATTACATGGATGCTCCTATGACATACAACATCAAAGAAAAAGTAGTTGGAGGTGGGAAAAACATAATTAAGGCATCACAATTGAATTCACTATGCTTGCATCTACGCGGCCAACAGTACAACAAAAAAAGATCTCGTTTTTTCGAATGCGATCACTTAGCACATATAATTTTAGCAACTCCATTTTTTAACTTTCTTAGATTGAATTATGTGATATCATTGTTGAGTACCACTTTGTTAATCCATTTGCTTCACACTAAAAAAACACAAAGTATGATGATTATTGAGTTATTCAAGCTTCCCCTTTCAAACATGGATTAAAATAAACTTTAAATTCCAAATAGTATTACCCAATAAGTTTTAGCTCAAGCAATGACAACAGAGAGGTCTAGAAAAAGATACAAACACTTGGTGGGTATATAATTAAGTAGAAAAGTAAAAGGATCTGCAATAAATTAGCTTAAGGGACAAGAATGAATTGGGTGGGCTTTACCAAACTGACAACAACTGGTGAATGAAGGCTAACTTCACTCACACATGTCTCAAGACACTTCATTTTAATTTTAATCACCAAATATCACCAAAATTGGTATTAATCAGGAGTTCAACACACACCAAAAAACCCCAAATCAGATTTTAGCAACAAAAAGTAGTAAACATATTACATATTTATGCACAAATGAGACATACCCAGAATATATCAGCTCCTACTTCATATTTGACTTCACATACTATAAAGAAAAAGAGGGAAGAAGCAAAATGCTTGATTTATTTTACATCTACCAAAACCCTAAAAAAAATTATTGTAGAAAATTTGCTAATAAACGAAGAAAGAAGTAGAAACATACCAGTCTTTTAGAAAAGAGATGAACTAGTAGCCCATCTGGGAAGATTAGTGCAAGATTAGTGGAAGATTAGAGGAGAAGAAGAAGAAGGAGGAGGAGGAAATGGGCTCGTTACTTGTATTCTTCTGTGAGGGAGAACTTATGTTTTGATCTTATGACAAGCAAAGGTAAAACTAGCAGCAAAACTTATTTGGACGCAATTTTATTTTTTATACCTAGCGACAAAAAAATTCGTTGCAACAAGGGTAAATATACTCTCATTAAAGAAGCTAGATTAGCGACGTACGCAGTCCGTCGCTAAATACGTCGCTCAATTGTAATAAATTTTGTTACCCAAATTTCCTCGCTTATTTTGTTGCTAAAATGTGGGGGCCAATTTTTAGCGACGGAATCTTCATTTTGTCGCTATGCTGTCGCTAAATTAGATATTTATGCTTCTATTTACTTCTTTGCTACCAAACACTATTTTTTGTAGTTAATCTGTCGCTAAGTAGCGACGAAAAATTATTTGTCGCGGAATTCCGTCGCTAAATCAAGTTTTTTTTGTAGTGAATCGAAAGAAGTCCAAGTTGCGAAATCTTCAAAAGAAACAAAAAATTCAGTTGCTTCAAAGAGGAAAAAGCCTTTGAATGATTCTTCATGTGTCAATGTTAAGGAAGTTTATGCAAAAAAGAAAACATCATATACACCACACGAAAAGGTAATTGTCATTTTATCAATATGAATTCAAAGAAATTTATATGTATTCATAATTATTCAAGTTATTTTATATGCATGATGTTGTATTTGTATGTATCTAGTTGTATATGTAAGTATTAAAACAATTTGCACATTCACATTGACAATATCTGAGTTGTGCTTACTTGAATATTATATGTTGTATTTAAATATATTTAGATTTATTCAGTTTTACATTCTCTGTATTTCAGTACTTATTTCAGTTTTCCTTGCATGTTGTATGTATATATTCACATTTTTGTACTATTTGGTATTAATGTATATTTTATTTTTGTATATGTATGATGTTGTATTCATATGTATCTAGTTGTATTGATAAGTATTAAAACTCATTTGCACATTCACATTGTCAATATGTGGGTTGTGCTTAGTTGAATATTATATGTTGTATTTAAATGTATTTAGATGTATTCAATTTTACATTCTCTGTATTTCAGTACTTATTACAGTTTTCCTTGCATGTTGTACGTATATATTCACATTTTTGTACTATTTGGTTTTAATGTATTTCATTTTTTAATTGTACCTTGTTGTATTTATATGTATTCATAATACAGAATGAGTTTATATATTGATGATGAATATGAAACCTTTTTAACATTCTTGTTTGTATGCAAGAAATTAAACTGTTTGTGAAACACCCGCCAAGATTATCACCGCATATTTGTTCATATACAAACACAAACATAGTATCCGATCTCAAATAAAAGCTTACTCCAGAACAGTATAAACTAATAAGTTCTACTTTCAGGGATTGTGGGGTGCATGTCGCGGCATACGCAGAGTTTCTTAGCACAGTTGGGCTGGTTCCACAAGTAAAATTTGATGCCAATTTACTCCGCCAAGGATATGGTGCACTCCTTTGGGACTATGTTATGCGGAAGATAGACGCTGATGTCGTAAGCGAGAGCGAAGCACCTTTAAAGATTCTTAGGCACATCACTGATTCTGATACATCGGTGAAGATAATGTTAGAGTAGTCTTAGGTGAATGTAGTTTTCGATGGGAGTTTTTGTGAATACTATTTTTCATGGACAGTGTGTTGGTAAAGATGGTGTTAGTTTAGCAAAAAAAATAATTTAGCGACCGTATCAACAGTGTTTGTATATTATCATTTCAAGCATCCAATCAATATATTGTCTGTTTTTGTGCTTCTGAATTAATCTATCCTTCAACCTGTTGTATTGATATGTATTCAACTTATCGTATTAGTCAGTATTCAACATGATATATTTATCTATATTCATTAAGTTGTATTTATATGTATTCACCAGGTTATGTTCACATATTTTCGGCAGGTGTTTTTAGACCTTCATATTTATATGATATATTGCATTGATATGTATTCAGCTGTATTTTGAATACGACTTTTGTATATAACTGGCTGTAATAACAGGTTGTCATAATTTATATTCAAGTGTATTTGAATACATGAATTTAACATTCATTGATGTATTTTGAATACAGCTTTTGTATATAACTGATTGTAATAACAGATTGTCATAATTTGTATTCAAGTGTATTTGAATACATGTATTTAACATTTATAAATCCTATTAACTCTCTGATGTACTATATGTATTCCAAAAAGAATCATCAGTTCAATGTGTTCAATGATTGTATTCATCTATATTCATATATAATAAAGATACAACGGTCGTATTTTAATTACATATTCAGATTTAATACACCAACTAAGTATATCCAAAATATATTCGAAATGACACTGAAATCTATAACAAATTATTTTTCATTAATACAAGTCAGATTGTGAACTAATTTCAACGTGGAGCATTTCTATAAGTACGCTTATTATGTCATTCCTGCCCACATATGCTACACGAATGTTGATTTTTCATCTGCAGCAATTCAATGAAAGGCTTATCATGCTTCTTCTTTGGTTTTCAAGGAGGTCTTTTTCATTTGGGTGGTAATACAACTTCATCTGCTACATGTGCTGGTATATTCCATTCTTTCCGGTCCGGCAAAGGATACACGGGCACCTCATATGTCATTACAACAGACTTTGGTTTGTAATAATCAGAGCAATAATCTTCTGGCATTAGAAACTTGCTCTCAAGGACAACCCAAGCGTGTGGGCACGGTAATTCGTCGACTTGGAACCGCCCACAACTGCATTTTTTCTCTAAAAGGCATACTGTGTAATGCATTCCTTCATCGTTCACCGTATGCAAATATTCAATCGATGGCACCACCTACATTTAAAAAATTAAATCATACATATATATAAGAATAGACGTATTACATAAAATTTTCATATATAGTATTATAATTTTATTTAGTTTTAAGAATCATAATATATTTTGTATTAAAATACAACTATAGTAGATACAACTATATTTGTACATACAGAATTCAAAGACATACATGTATATACATGTAAATACATTGAATATATTAGAATACATACTACGTGAATGCTCGCAGAATTTTAGAGTAGTCTTGACTGAATATAGGATACAACTTCCATTGCTACCTTGAAATATATACAGTTAAATACCTTGTACCATGGATATTGTATTCATGAATGCTATTGTATTCATGAATACAGTAGCAAAAATAGGCGTGAACCAGGGAAGTCCAGCTGATCAGTTGTTGTATTCGACTGTATTCATGGAGTGAAACGTGGGATTACAGCTGGACAGATTATTGTATTCGACTATATTCACGGCGGGAAATAGCGGATTACACTATTTTTAAAACGGAAATGAATCAATTAACATAATAGACTCCTAATATAACTCAACAAACTCAATTATAAATCTGAATACATAAATACATCTGAATACATAAATTATATTAATTAAAAAAACAAATGAAGACATTCATGGAATATAGGAGACGAATATAATAAAATATAGGTGAGATATATTGAAATACAATGAAAAAAAGACAATGAATACAATGAAATACATAGAATGCAACGAGATACATTAAAATACAATAAAAAAAGGTAACAGACTCTTCAAGTTGCTCAGCCCCAAACTCCGTCGTCTTTGTTAAAGAATGACCCTAATGTCATCTCATCGATAGCAGATTTCGAACCTCCATTGTCAGCCCCAATTTACCGTAAAAAATCCTTTCGAAAATACCTGACAGCGAGTAATGGTCATGTTTTTTGCAAAAATTACTTCTGTATTTGATGTAATTATTCCAGCAACCCTTTTCTGTATTTGATGTAATTACTCCACTGTTCCGACATCAATTATACAACACACAAATCTATATATTTTTGAATTCCCCCACTTCAGTAAAAAACATAGAAGAAGACCAAAAAATTATATACACACACAGATCTGTAGTCGATGACCCCAAAAATTCTCTCACCCTTAACCCTTGAATCTCCTCCCCTTTCTTCTCCACCTCTTTGGACTCAAGCAACCTAACAAGCACACACGTACATAATGGGACAGATTTCTGGGAGTTTGGAAAAAGAAACAGAATACACAGCATAGGACAAAATACCTTGTATCATTCGTGTAGACATTGTCTCATTCAGATAGAAAATCGTTGATGGAGGGGGGAATACAGAATATGGGTGCTATAATTGTGTTAGTTGAGTTGTATTAGGAGACTATTTGCTAGATTGATTTTCTTTCCGTTTTTAATCAGTTGAAAGGTCCCTTTTTTAAGGAATATACGTTACTGTATTCAATGATTCAACTCTTGAATACAGTTGAATACAACATCTTATTAACATGTTTTCCATGATTCACGCTGTTTTTTTCTAATGTATTCAAGAATACAGTAACCTAAATACATCAAATACATCTTAAAATATCTAAAAACGTATCTACATGATGTAATATAGCAAATGGTATCTATAGAGAGCTAATTACCACTAAAAGTATCTATTTATGAAAATTTCTCATTAAAAAATAGTCATAGTTTCAAAAGTAATCGAAATTTAGTCACTTTACAGGTAAAGATAAAATTTGAACAAAAATACTGTTAAAAATCCAGAAATATTAACATAATATGCCGGAGTTCGAATTTTACACATGAGCTTCCAGCATAATATGCTGAATTTTATAATGTGTTAGAGTTCCATCATAATATGCTGGAAGTTTATATGCAGAAGCTCCACAATCCTGCTTGTTATGCCTAGAACTTTCCCTGTCCTGGAGTTCCAACATAATATACTGTAAGTTTATACGCAAGAGTTCCATGATTCCGCATTTTATGCTGGAACATTTCGTGTTTCAGCAAAACAGTGACTATTTTTCGTTGACTTTGTAAACATTGACTATTTTTACATTCCTATCCCACTTAGGAAACCTTTTTACCCTACATGTTTAAGGTTTGAGTAAACTACATTTAATATACCAAATTACCATTTCTATACCATATCTAATTAAGGTTATGATTAATGAGATATTTTCTACTCCTTAATTAAAGCATTTCCGTTTTTTTAGTACTAATCCCTCACTTTCTCTCTCCTAACCCCTCATCCCCGTACCCCCACGTTCTTTTTACCCTCCCACGTTCTCTCTACCATTGCCCTTCTTCTGAAACCACCCAATTTCCCTCTAAATTCAAACAATATTCAACAAACCCTTTAAACAAATTCCTATCCACATTTTTATTTAGTTGAAGTTCATCAATGAAAAACAAGGAAGGTTCGAAAAAGAGTCCAAAAAAAGTTGAAGTTAAACCATGAAGAACATCAAATCTCCCAAAAAAATACCTAAAAAATCTACAGTAGGTGATATCCCCTTTTCGATATGGGTGTTTTAACATCAAAATTACCACAAAAACAAGTAAAATCTACACATGCAATGGAACCTACTACTCGCAGTTTATCTCCTAGACAAATCCGTGCCGAGATGAGAACAAAGCAAATGCACGATGTAGATGCTGGAGGAAGTGCTACACCAGGCGGCAAACAACTGTCTTAATTTTGTATATTATTTGTAGTTGTGATTTTCAACAGTTTATAATTGTAGTTATTTTGTAGTCGTTTTGTAGTTATATTGTCGTTAGCTTTTAAATTTTGAAACAGAGTTGTAGCTACTTTTTTCTTCCTGCATTTTTGTAGATAATGTTTATATCTGTAGATGTCTTGTAGTGTTTTGTAGTTATATGTGTGGTAGGCTGTATTTTTTTGAAGCAGATTTGTATGTATATTTCTTCCTGATTTGTTTTTAGCTATTTGTGTAATGATTGTGTAGTTATATGTAGATTAATGCTTCATTTTTATGCAGGTTACTAATGTGAAATAATTTATCATTTTGTGCAGAATGGACATTATTTTGCCCCACATAATGTGGATTATGGGGTGCTTAGATTTCTCACTTTGTGCGATCCTACCCCAGTGTTTAGGGATCCAGACGAACCTGCATCAAAATAAAGATAAACATTGTTATAATTTTGTTGAATCTTTGTAGAAAATTTGTAGATATAGTGAAAATTTTGTAGTCATTCATTTTAGGATGTCAGACATTATAGTTAAATTGTACTATAACTGTTGCAATTTGTAGAATATTTGTAGATAATTTATTTAAAGACAACATTTTGAAATCAACAATTTCTAATCATAGATTGTAGTTTATTTTGTCGTATAAATGTAGTAACTTTGTAGATAATTTTGAAAACAAAATTGCTTTATTCTTTCATTAAACTGATTTGTAGTTTAATTGTAGGCAAATGTAGTAATTTTGTACTCCCTCCGTTCCAATTTATATGAATCTGTTTGACTGGGCACGGAGTTTAAGAAAAACTGAAGACTTTTAGAATTTGTGGTCCTAAACAAGTCAAAAAGGGGCCCAGAGTATTTGTGTGGTTATAAAAGTTTCTCATTAAGGGTAGAATTGTAAGTTTAAGCTAAATTATTTCCAAATTTAGAAAGTGGTCATTCTTTTTGGAACGGACCAAAAAGGAAATAGGTTCACATAAACTGGAACGGAGGGAGTAGATAATACTGTAAAACCATAATTCTATGCAATTTCGAACTATACAAACCTGCACAATGGCATCAACTTCAAAATCTCTAAATCTGCCATAGTTATCCCAATTCCCATTCAATTGTAGCATGATTGCGATTTTGGACATGATTGCTTGTTGTTGTTGATGTTTTTTTGGATTTCTAGATTGAGAGAAGAAAAGATGAAGAACATATATATGATCGACAATTTGATTTCTGAAAACGACGAAGAACAAAATATAGCAATTTTGAGTTGTTGAATCTCGAAGATTTGAATTCTACAATTTGAATTCAGTTTGTTGAAGCTGTTCGTAGTTGAATCTGTCCATACTTTTTGAAGCTGTTCGTACTTTTTTTTTTTAATTTTTGAATTGTAGTTTACGAGAAAAATACGCAGATGAGAAATCTCCTTTCCGTTTCAAAAATTGAATTTAATGTAGAATCAATCAATTGCAAGATTCTTTCCTGATTTTTAGTGCGTTTTTAAGGGAATATTTTGCCCTTTTAATACCTAATAAACAAATGGTACAGAAATTGTAGGAAAAATGTGGACTAGGCGGGTAATTTAGATACTATGCACATATTTGGTAATAAAGTTTCATATATGGTATAAGAAGGAAAAAATCCCTTTTCGATTACCAATCCGAAAAATACTTAGCCCGTTCTATTTTAACAAATTTTTCCTGAGAAAAGGCCTGTAGGGCCGAAGTATCCAAGAAAGAAAATGAAGGCATACAGAAAGGGTTGGATATGTGTAGAATAATACTAGCCAGCGAACTATTGGACCTTGGTAGCCACATATAACATTTTTGGAATCTTTACGCTAATAGCCGGATGGATTCATTATTTATTTTTTCTAGCCAGTATATATAAATAATGTATCGATTGTACACGATTATATACATATTATACATAAATTATATAAATAGCTAATATAACATTTTTTCTAATGAAAAAAGGGTTGCACATTTGAAACACAATACACATGATCTGGAATTATTTAAAAAAAGAAGTTTCCATTTAAAACGTGTATTCCCAATTCCACCTAATACAAGTCCTTCTACTACTACCAGATGAGTAATAAATAATAATATTGGCTTTTTCTTCAAGTTGCTTTTAGCATTTAAAGTCTCTCAGATTATGTGATCTGAATTTAGTGCGTGAAACACGCTGCGTATAGTGAACTCTAACAGGAAAAGGGAAAGAATAATACAAGTCGTTTTTTGGGCACGAGACAATCTTGGAAAGAGAATAATTATTCTTTCATGACCAATTACTAACACAAATCACAATATTCTGAGATTTTTATTCCTTCCCACCATATCTTAAACTTTATGACTTGTTTTCTCAGCCGTGAAAGATATGCAGTTTTGTTACTAGTATTGAAGTTTCATATACGTCTTTTTTAAAATATTATTGTTTGTTGTTACGGTTTTCTTTTTCTTTTTTTCTTGAGATCAGAGTTCATCAATAACAGTCTCTCTATCTTTTTAAAGTAAGGATAAAATTTGCGTACATATTACGCTCCCCACTTATAATATTACACTAGGTATATTTATGACTGTTTGTTGTTGCTGTACACGTCCTTTTAAAATACGAATTCATACAAACTGTTGTTTTTACTTTTTAAGTAACACAGGTTAAAAAATTTACTAAGATTATCTTACAAAAAAATCTGATTATATAACTATCTATTACTATAATTTGGTGCCTAATTAAAACTTAAACTCAGAGTCAAATATGCCATAATTTTCCTCTTTAAGTTTTAAAACACCCTTAACTATGCGCCATTAATAATAATTAAATATAAGCTAAGCGCCATCCCAACTTAATGTGACGAAATTACCCTTTTGTTTATCAATTTCCACCAACCATACCCAATTTAAAACGTCCATCTCCTTTACAAATCCCACGCTATGGAGTCACTGACTCAAAAAGTTGCTCTCAAATTCACTAAGGCCAATTTTGTCCCAGAAAAAGTTACTAACAGATATTTTCACAGGGGCAATTTGGTCAAACTAAAGTCACCTACCACCACCACTATCACCACCATAACCACCACTCCCACTAGAAATACTCCTGTTTTTCCCCCTATCTTTGTGTCCGAAAGAGCTGCCGTACCCAGAGCCGGTGAAGAACCCGAGTTGAAAACGACCCGGATCCGAGATCCAGTGAGCTCAGCAGATATGGCGTCTAAAGATCCGATTCTCAAAGACGATCGTCTCGCTCGGATTTCTTCTTCTATTCGGGTCATCCCCGACTTCCCTAAACCCGGTACCCATTTCTTCCTTTTCGAACTTTCTGATGCTTGTAGCTGTGAAGAACGAAATAATTTCTTACTATGTCGTTTTTTTTTTTGCAGGGATTATGTTTCAGGATATAACAACATTGCTACTTGATACTAAGGCGTTTAAGGACACTATTGATTTGTTTGTTGAGAGATACAAGGACAAAAACATCAGTGTCGTTGCAGGTTTTTCCCTTTTCTTTCTTTTTGTTCCTTAAGTGTGTTTCCTGCTTATTTAATCTCCGATAAGATCTGTTTTTTTTTTTTTAATTTTTTATTCTGAATTTAAAAATGCTGAATTATTCTATTACGGACTTAGTACTTTAAAGGATTAAAAAATTCAAGCTTTAGAAGCTTAGGTTTTAAGATCTTCTAGCTTTTGCTTTAAGGTTGCCGGGCTCTCAGCATTATTATGTGTAGCTTAAAAAGAAAGCCAAAAAGGTTCAAACTTTGTTATAAACGAATAGGCAAAATCTTTATAAAAAGAAAAAGTTTTTGCTTTCTAGAGTTAGATTAATCAGAATTTGAGCATCAAAACCTAATGGAATAGCCCAAGATAATTATAAACCCCTTTAAAGCACTTACACAATGTGGGACGACTATCTACCTCAACAAGATAATATTAGGTTCAGATTGTAGACTTTTATAAATAAAAAAAAAAAAGAAAGCTTCTTCTTGTGACTGATGATGAATCCTTTTTGTAGCTTGACCAAATTATTATAACTAATTTTGAGAGTTGCTATACTGCAAACTCAGTATTTGGTTCAACACCTGATAAGTACTTAAGACAAGCATGATGGCTTGATTTTATTTGGCATACAAATATTTGGGCCGAAGAACTTTTGTTTTGATTTGTTTGTTGATTGATTTTTTGGGGCTGGGGGGTGCACTTTTTTTTTGTTGGTAACTATGAACTTTTCATTAATTACCAAAGTATCATGTACAAATCAGCTAGACTTTATAAACAGAGTCTGCTTCGCTTACAGCAACTATCAAGAGTAATTCACTTTAACACTGAAAGACCTTTCTATCTATGTCTACTTTCTCCTTCTTATCTAGGAAATCTATACTTTTGGAGTAGTATCTTAGTGGTATCATTGGCTCTAACATGACATGTATATGCGATCTCTCTAGCTATTGTTTCACATGTGTTTTCCTTATGGGCAAACAACCTGTTGTTCCTTTCTATTCAGACTGCATAAACAATCTCTGTAAACACCAGCTTCACTAGTTTTGCCTGCATAGTTTTCCCTTTTGTATTCTGCTCGATCCAGTGTTGCATCTGGTTCCATGAACTCATATCCACCCAAGTGATTTGTAGCCACTTCATTAGTTTATTCCACACCTGTCTTCTAATTGCACATTCCGCAAACAGATGATCCCTGCTTTCAGCTTCCTCTTTACACATGACACAGGTAGTGTCAACTTGTATTCCCTAGTTTTCCAGTCTTGTAGCAGTTAGTAGCCTGTCTTGCTGTTGGAGCCATGTTATAAATATTGCTTTTGGCCGTGCTTCATTGCCACAAATGATGTTTTTCCAGGCAACTTTGGGTAGATCCCCTACCATTCTCAAGTAAATGCTTCTGATCAGACTCTTGTTCTGCAGGTGATCTGGTTGCACATGCCACAGTTCTTATCTTGCTTTGAGTATTTTCCTGACCATCCAACTAGCTTGTTGGGGGTGCACTTTCTCCGCTAGTAATACTGACAGAGAATAACCAAACTTTCTCACCCTCCAACATTTGGCTTCATGTGCAAATATTAAATGAGCTATGCAACTGTAATTTGATGGATATTAGAACGGACCTTAAGCATTCTTATGTGGTCAAGTAGTTGTTCAAGAACATGTTTTCAATTTTATACATTTATATGTTAACCTGCATAAAGTATCTTCATGAGAAAACCCTGCACCAAAAACAGTAGACTTCATTTAGAATAGGGGTTATGACGCATATCAGAGATATGGGCATTACATCCGAAATGTGCATAAACATGTGGAGATGTCATTTCTGTCGGAAAAAAAAAGGATCAAATTAGACCTTGTTGGTACATATGGATGAGTTGATTTTTATATTTCACATTCCTTAAGAGAATGGTTTTCTACTTTGCATGCCCACAAGAAGTAAAAACATATTCAATCTCAATCAGGGGTACATGTGTCCATTAGTGAAGAGATTATTGAATTTCGAGTTCATATGTGTAGCTGGTAAAAAGTACGAGAGAAGGCAATATAAAGCTTAAATTTTCACTATAGTTAGGTTCAAGAAATATAAGACAGAGAGATACTCGTCTTCCGTCTTAGGTTTTGCTTTCTTGTTATGAATGAGATACACACTCCTAAACTGTAGATCTCAACTTCATCGGAATTCCCGAGGGGCAATGTTGTGTTGTAATGTCGTATACACCCAGCACAATCTTAGTGTTTATTTGTGTTTTACCTTCTTTTTCTTAAAGTGTTATTACTCCCAACACCACCCCCCCCCCCTTTTCCCAGGGCGGGAGGAGGAGGGGGCAATGACTCTTTACAAACATGATTTCTTGGTAAGAGGGATACGATATTGGCATTTCCTATTCTGTTGTTCCTTTTTAGCCTGTTTGACTCAAAATATTGCACTTGCTGACGATAATGGCCTGACATTTGTTCTGGGGAAATTAACTTTGAACATTATGGTAATGGTGTACTTCAGGTATTGAAGCAAGAGGTTTTATATTTGGTCCTCCCATTGCATTGGCTATTGGGGCAAAATTTGTCCCCATGAGGAAACCCAAGAAGTTGCCGGGTAAGCTTTACCACTATTGTTCTGCATTTCCATCTCATCAGCAGTTGTATTTTTCTCAGCAATGAACTAGAACCTGATAGGTGGTTTTGAAAGACTGCCTTGGCCAGACAACTGTTTTTCTTGCATGTATTGTTGTTTTTTTCTCGAGCATGGGTGTACCTGCAAGCAAGAGAATGTTATCACAGCTAGGAACATTTATACAAGCTTATCTGTTATCAGAAGAAAAAGAAAACAAGCTTGAAACCGAGTCTCATGCAATGTAGCTGAATTCCGTGGAAAGTTCAAAAAATTTAAGGCTAATATACATTTTAAAAAGAAACAAGTAATCAAGTACCCTGCTCGAAGTAAATCATTGTGCAATAAGTGCCTTTTGTGCTCTTAAAAGCCTACATACTCATTATTGGTTTTTTACTTGGGATATTCTTAGCTTACATCTTGCTTTTCCAGTCCAACATTTGGTTTCTTCGGAAGTTATATCATCATTATGAGTTAACTTAGTTATATATATATATATATATATATATATATATATATATATATATATATATATAT